AAAAGTGAGAGAAAAGTGCTGAAATGAAAAGGCAATATTTATTTGACTGATGAAAGAGAGGGAAAGAGATCAACAATGTGATCGATCTGATAACCCTAGTTTACTTCTTTGGTGTGATGACGAAAAATAAAGGACACAGATTCGTCATTTACTGAAGTGATAACAGCACACTAAATCAATTTATCTACTGATAATTTCATGATATTTCAATATATTTACAATGATAAGTAACTTGTCTGTCATATTTCATTCATGATCGTAGCCTTTATTCATTCGTAGAGGAGTACGAGTAATCGTTGAGAGGGGGGCTACACTGCCCCCCCCCCCCAAATAAAATTGTTTCCCATGAGGGAAAGGCTACACTGCACCCCTTCAAAGAGCAGTGCTGCCATTCAGGGCCTTACAACATGTGAATATTTCATTTACAGAATAAGGACATTTTAAGATCAATCTTTTCTCTGTTGACACTTATGCTATTAACCTCCATTTTAGATAACGTAGTTTCGTCACATTAGGGCAGCAAGGTGCCCGAATATATCTTATAATTTTTATATCGAAATTACATTTTTACCACGCTCGTTTGCTCTTCTCTCTCAGAACATTTAAAAACAGGATGATTCTGGACAACGAGATGCCCGAATATCTCTATATTTTGTGTATCGAGGTGACCGAATGTATGAATTTTGTATTCATGTATCGGGTAAAGAGGTGCCTGCTTACATAATATTATATCTTATCTAGTGTGTTTTCTGGAGACAATAATATTGTATCATACTAGAAACTTCATTGTTGTGTTTTTGTTGCTCCTCGCTTTGCTCGATTAACACATTTTTAGAAACAAACTGTGTCCGTTCGTGTGAACATGGCACTTGATGTGTACCAGAGTAATGAAGGGGAAACGTTCTGTAATTAATTCGGGATTAAGTCGACGTGAAACTCTTTATGTCCCCAAAAGGTGCCGTGACTATAACATGGTTGATAAATGCTGCTTTATACGACTGAAGTAGGTTGTGTCGATTTTGAGGAAGGGCTACAGCGCATCCGTGTAAAGAACTATGTTATATGAACATGTAGTCAAGCACCGAGTCTAAGGAAACTTGGAAACAATTCTACATACATTTTATACAGTGCGTACTCCGAAAAAGTGTACCCAAATTTGGTAGCTCCTGATCTACTTCATGAGGAAGAATACTTTGTTTTCCGTCAAATTATACCACATTCAAATTATTTTTGCCACGTGTGACTGAACACTAGGGTCTTTAAAACGTGTAGTCGAAATCGCCTTGTACCAAGTTTAGGCTGATGGAAAGAATATGAGTCAGGCACAATGCATGTGCTTCTTTGGTCTGAAATACTTTTAAAAGTAAAAATATGCCTCGTGCTTCATTTCTTCATCGTTTAAGGTGCTTATCTCGAATAGTGAATAAAAACTCAAATGTTGCTAAACCCAAATGCTAGTAAAACCACATTTGATGATAAGTATCTAGGAAATTAACAGTAGACTTTCATAAAAAAGACAACATCCCAAATGAGCTTTATTCATTTTCTATCACTCAATGAGAAGGGATATCTTAAACCAGGGGTGCGAATATTCATAATATATTCGTAATATTCATTTCTTTGAGTTTCAGTTGACATATTCAGTTGATATAAGAAGATTTTGACAATACTTTTTCAAAAGCCTGCTGCTTAGTCATCCGTGGCAGCACAATTATGAATATTGTATCTTTAGACAGGGTATAATTTATCATTAGCCATGAATAATGATTCAAAGTCACATAGATTATAACTCTTTTAATTAGAAGCTACTAAAGTTCGGTACACTTTTTCTTTACACACACTGTATATCCAAGTTGATAATATTGCTAACTACTGGGTTTCATTGTTCATTTTTTAGCACAGTTGGTTAAATCACAAAGCGGGAATACAAGTTATTTATCGACAGATAAATGATAAAGTTCGAATAGGCTTACTTTTACCGCAAATCAACTCATATTACAAAACGTGTCCAGCAGCAGACTATTTCCTTTTTTCCTGTTTACGTTGCCTTCAACCCCATCGAGATTCGTCCCCGTTCTTCATATTCCGTGGACCTTAAATATTAAGGTGAACAGGTGAGATAAAAGTATTTCATAATGTTCATTAAAATTCTAGTTAGTTGTGTTTACTAGATTATAAGAGAAAGATGGATATCCTTTGGTACACTAGTGTACCGTCTCTTTGGAGCCAAAAAATACGCCCTTTTTCTATTTAAAAAAAAATTGGAATGGGGATAATAGTAGAATTCTGCCGAGTAGAATTTTAAACAAAAAAGGAAAGTATAACACTATTTTACATATTTGAAACATCATAATCAAGACTGAAGACCTAGGGAAAGCTATCTTTGATACTAAATCAGCATATCACGAGAAACCGCAAGGACTCGGCTAAAAATACGCAATTAAGATTCCTAGAACGTAATATTGAATAGAAGAAAACCTCATTGTAAACAATTTTCGAGGCCGATATATAAAGAGGCTTTAATTTCAATGGCTCATTTAATGGAAATTTACTGCAGAGAGTCAATACCGCGAAATATATTGGTGTACTAATTGATGAAGAATTGAGTTGGTCCAGACACGTTGTCAAAACAATAAAAGGAAAGCAAAGAAATGTCGGTGTAATAAAACGGACAAAGGAATATTTACTAATAATATCTATAAAGTATCTGTATAATGCATTTATGGTGCCTCCCTTTCATTACTTTGTTTTTTGTTTACATGTTCGCCTTTTTTGAAAATATAATTTGCACTTATTAAACCGCATATCAACAAATCATAATGCGTTTTTTTTTTAAATGGACCCATTATTTGGAATAACCACCCAACTAACCTCAAGAACAGTGAGACTGCAAAACAATTCAAACGATTAGTTAAAAAGCCGCTCTTGGACTCATAAATGATGAATATTTTGTTTGTATTTCCTTTTTTTTCTTCCTTGCCTTTTGAATTGAATTGAATTGAATTGAATTGAACTTTATTTCATTCATCATAAAAACATCATAACAAACATATAAAATACAAAACATAGCGTACATATTAAAGAGAAACATTTACAATACAAATACAACAACAAAAATATATATGAATGTGGAGACGGCTAGAAAAGCCAAAAGCTTTATTGGTGCTGCCAATTTGATGTTATGTTTTTCCTGTTATGATTTTTTTCTTACAATGTTAGATAGGTAATGTGTATACTTGTTAAGGGGTCATTTCCAATGAGCCAACTAGTGCTTTTTATGATCCTGCCACTTTTATTCATATGTATTTGTTATTGATGTGTAAATTGTTTTTAAAGTGGAAATAAATTGAATTGAATTGAATATTAAATATTAGTTTGTATCCTATCTTTGCGCCGAATGGTAAGCTAAGAGAAAATAGTCACGTTCCGAGTAATTAAGGTTCCTCTGTGTGTCAGAGAAAAAGATAGAGGGGCAGCAAAAAGAGGGAAAAGTAGTTAACAGGCAGAATTTCGCTACTTTTAGACAAATTACTATAATATTGAAAAACGTCTGTATTAACCTTTAATGTTAGATAGGATCTTCTTTGCAGCATGATACAAACTGTTCAAATGCTATAGTTGAAAATAGTCCCCATGCCTGCTTTAGTATAGAACGATACGGCTCATACGTACTACACGCTTTGTCAAAACGTCAGACCAACACCCGCGTACTAACCTTAATTTTACCAAAATATAAAGTAATTCAATAGGCTTTGTGTCAGTCCTGGATGGATGAACCTTATTTACAAGGTCATGCATTCACAGCATGAAAGACGATTTTCTATTTTTTTTTAAAATCTATTATGATAAGAGGCCAGTTTGCCCCCTTGTGGTAATAAACACAATTCTGTGATTGTCATAGAGTGCTGAAAAGAAAAAGCAATAGTTCTTTGGCTGATGAAAGAGAGGGAAAGAGATCAACAATGTGATAAGCGATCTGATAACCCTAATTTACTTCTTTGGTGTGATGACAGAAAGATAAGGGACCCAGATTGGTCAATTACAAATATTTCCAACTCATTTTCAATAGATTTGGAAGGATTACAGCAAACTAAATCAATTTAAATAAAGATAATTCCTTAAGCTTTCAATATGTTCACATAAATCCGAAAAATGTACCCAAATTCGGTAGCTCCTAATCTACTTCGTAAGGAAGAGTACCTTGTTTTCCGTCAAATGATACCATATTCAAAATATTTTTGCAATGGGTGACTGAGTACTAGGGTCTTTAAGACGTGTGGTAGAAATTGCCTTGTACCAAGTTTAGGCTGACGAAAAGAATGTGAGTCAGGCAAAATGCATGTGCTTCTTTGGTCTGAAATACTTTTAAAAGTAAAAGTATGCCTCGTGCTTCATTTCTTCATCGTTTAAAATGATGCAATGTTCTAGGCTTTCACAGAAACTAGGATAACCGTGAATATTTTGAACAGCCTACTAACTCCGTGTCTAATGATATTTAAGTTCTCTCTGCTCACTTGTCCATTCCGTCATTTCACATGGAGCATAAGGTGCTTATCTCGAATAGTAAATAAAAACTCAAATGTTACTAAACCCAAATGCTAGTAAAAACCACATTTGATGATAAGTATCTAGGAAGTTGACAGTAGTCTTTCATAAAAAAAGACAACATCCCAAATGAGCTTTATTCCTTTTGTATCACTCAATGAGAAGGAATATCTTAAACCAGGGGTGCGAATATTCGTAATATATTCGTAATATTCATTTCTTTGAGTTTCAGTTGACATATACAATTGATATAAGAAGATTTTGACAATACTTTTTTTTAAAAGCCTGCTGCTCAGTCATCCGTTGCAGCACATTTATGAATATTGTATCTTTAGATAGGGAATAATTTATCATAAGCCATGAATAATGATTCAAAGACACATAGATTATAACTTTTTTAATTAGAAGCTACCAAAGTTCGGTACACTTTTTTCTTTATACGCACTGTATATCTAAGTTGATAATATTGCTAACTACTGGGGTTCATTGTTCAGTTTTCATCCAGGTGCCCTTTCGGCACAGTTGGTTAAATCACAAAGCGGGAATACAAGCTATTTGTCGACAGATAAATGATAAAGTTCGAATAGGCTTACTTTTACCGCAAATCAACTCATATTACAAAACGTGTCCCGCAGCAGACTATTTCCTATTTCCCTGTTTACGTTGCCTTTAACCCCATCGAGATTCGTCCTCGTTCTCCATATTTTGTGGACCTTGAATATTAAGGTGAACAGGTGAGACAAAAGTATTTCATAATATTCATTAAGATTCTAGTTAGTTGTGTTTACTAGATTATAAGAGAGTGATGGATATCCTTTGGTACACTGGTGTATCGTCTTTTTGGAGACAAACAAATATTCATGAAAAAACATAGTTAATGCCCTTAGCTCCAAAAGATGAAATTAGAATGGAGACCAAAGTTGATCTGCCGAGTCTTGTTTTAAACAAAAAATGAAAATATCACACTATTTTACACATTTCAAACATCATTATCAAGACTGAAGACCTAGGGAATGCCATGTTGGATACTAAATCTTCATATCACGAGAGACCACAAGGACTCGGATAAAAATTGCCAATTATGATTCCCAGAACGTAATTTTAAACAAAAGAAAACACACTGCAAACGATTTTCTAGAACCCTATTATATATGAGGACTATGATGTCAATAACTCTGTTAATAGAGATTTACTGAAGATAGTCAAAACCGCGAAATGTCTTGGGTACTAATTGATGAAGAATTTAATTGTACCAAACACGTTGACAAAATGTCAAAAGTAGCGCTTAATAATGTCTGTTTAGTAAAAACGGGCAAAGGAATATTTACCATTAATATCTAAAATGTAGATGTATAATGCATTTGTGTTGCCTTCCTTTCATTATTTTTATTTTAAATCCTATCACTGCACCGGATGGAATGCTAAGGTAAATAAAAAGTCACGTTGCGAGTCAGGTTCCTCTGAATGGTCAGTTCAATATTAGGAACACAAATTAACTCCAGAAAGCCCAAAAGGGAGCTGCGAGAATTTTAAAGCAAGGCTACGAGACCCAATGATGTGCATTGTTTAGTACTCTAAAATGGATGCCAATCGATCAGCGTTTCGAATTTCAACGCGCTATATGATGTACAAGTGCACACATACATTGGCACTATACAAGAAGGTTAAATTAACTTAAGTGAAATTTATTAGAATTATTCGCGGCAGGCAGATGCAGGATTACTTTCTGTGCCAAATTATAAATCAAAATGTTTTAAACGTACCCACTCGTGTCTTCAATAACAGTTTTTAATCATTTGGACAAATCGTTAAGAATAGCAAGCTCTGTGAACACATTTTAATACATGTTGAAACGATCTTGTAATATCCGTTCCCAATAGTAAATACCAATAGGATTCAATTCCGTCTAAAGTTGAACTCTAACTTTAATTTATGCTCATATTTCAAAGCATTTATCTTGTATGAATCGCATAATTGATTTGTGTTGCGTTTCATAGTTCTCATAATGAAGGATGACATGTCGCTTTTCATATGGAATGAATGGCATAATTCGCTATCAGTATGAAATATATATGTTCATTCGAATTTAGCTCGTATATTTAAATGCTATATTAATAAACGTTTATTATTTTACAAGGATTTCATCTAATATATATGCTATGTAAATATGTATAGAAAACAACTTTTGGTATCTCAAGTGTGGATCTATTTTGAGCCAAGATCGTCTTTTTGCTTTCTTTATAGGCTTCAGAAACTATATGAGGTTATCAACAACAAAAAATGTTTAAAAAATGATGATTATATTATTCATTGATTTAAAAACAGATTAGATCTAAACATGTTATACGATATGACAAATATGCAACAGTATTTTTGTTGGACAATTCCACACTTATTTAAAAGATAAACAAAACATACAAATATACATGTTTAGACTTACTTTCTTCTGTGTTTTTTCTGATATTGTTTTTAGTTTATATTTACGATTTTTTAAGCATTTTTTGTTATCAAACATGGTCTCATGGAAGATCAACCCTGTATTAATGTCCAAAAAAATAATGAATACATCTGTAATAATTTCCAACATTTTTTTTTTATTGTGCAATATAAGAAAAATAATTTTAAAATTGTATTCTCAAGATCTAAAGTAATAACAGAGTCATAATACAAAATCCCTCTGATGTACGTATCTTTAGGTGAATCTAACTTGACTTTAAAAGTACAAATCTGGTATGAAATGGTGTTGATATTTTCTGCCAAGCCTTACTTTTTTAATGAATATACAAAGAGAGTATTGAAGTAAGTGTCCCTTTGTTATATATGTTAAAACTTTCAACAAACCGTGCTCGTTTATCTTATTTTTAATGTTCCTTTGGCAGATGTTCTCTTCTCCTACAAAATTTGACTGAATATGTTATTGTTGTTGTTTGGTATTATCGGCGTTTCATTCTTTTTTTTATAATATTTACGCCTTTCACTTTATTGTATACTATTTGTAAATTTGTAATGTTCTAAATCATATGTTTGTGATAATATAATCTCAGATCCACCCCAGCCTTTCCCCCCCCCCCCCCCCTCTACCACCCAAACCCATCCCGTAAAGAATAAGGGTTTGTGATATGAAGAAATATAACTCAAAATCAATCCATTTCCCTGCTGCAAAAATGTGATTTGTACTAACTTAGTTTATCTAATCACAAAATGTAAACTATTATTTCACATAGTTTCTGCATTCATGAATATGACGAGTGTATATAAAGCAATTTTTTATCACTGTATCATTATATGGAAACAAATCTATTGGACAGTGACAATAGTTTGTCCTATAGACAATGAAGCTAGGACGAATGGTGTAACTACTGGACAAGGGCATCATGCATGCTACCATGCTACCCCTTTATTAAACTACAGTGGCTCCCGTTTGCTAACAGAATCACTGGATAGTTGTCTAACTCTCAGATCTGTATAGACCTCACATTCGTTTTTACATCTCGTCTCTCTTCCAGGAACATTTACATCGGCTCCTCCCTTTCTCATTCCCGAATGCCCCAAACATGGGACCAATAAATTACTTTCAATCCTTTGCCCTATTGCTTTCGAACAACCTCCATTTTTCAAAATTTTGCTTTAAAACGAGGGACATCGTCATTAGAAAATGAGTAGTAAAAGTCGTAGAAGTTGTAGTTGTAGTAGTAGTGGTGGTGGTGGTAGTAGTATTAGTAGAAGAAGTAGTATAGAAGTAGTAGAATAGAAGTAGTAGTATAGTAGTAGTAGTAGTAGTAGTAGTATAGTAGTAGTATTAGTAGTAGTAGTAGTTGTAGTCGTAGTAATGGTGTCAGTGGGATGATGGTAGTAATAGAAGTTTAGTAGAAGTAGTATTGAAGTAGAAGTAGTAGTTGTGGTGGTGGTGCTGCTGGTAGTGTTAGTACTAGTATAAAAAGGAGTCGTAGTAGCAGTTGTAGTAGCTGACATAATGGTAGGACGAGTTACATAAACAGGGTAGGCGATACAATTCAAACAAAAAAGAAAAAACAAACCCATGAATCATGAATACACTAGTTTTATACCATTCAATCATTAATGCCGTTACAATGTAAGTACATAGGAGGGACCGATAGGTACAAGTTTATGAATAAAATGTGCAAAGTACAATATACTGAAAACAATGCTAATACGAACAATTTAGATTTAAGCTATTAATACTAAAATCTTTGTAACCAAATATATATGGAAATCAATATTTAGCCCAGAGGTAGAAAGATTGGGAAGATTTTTGACCTGTGTAATGCAGTCATAACACGCAAACGACAAGAAATCAGTGTCGGGTTATTTATACTATATGATATTTAAATAATTAGAGTGATTTCTCGGAGATTGTCTTTTACTCTTAAAGGTGTATCGAATGTGTAACAGTTGAAAAAAAAAACTGATGATAAAATATGACTCAATTAACTCCAGATTTAGTAAAGATTGGCAGTTTTGCGTGAAAAGAGACCCCCCCCCCCCCATATATAAATGTGGAAAAAGAACAAACTTAAAGAGAAAAGATAGAGAGGCAGCAACAAGAGGGGGAAGTAGTTTAAAGGCAGAACTTTGCTACTTTTAGACAAATTACTATAAAATTGAAAAGCGTCTGTATTAATCTGAAATATTAGCAAGGATCTATCCTACAGCATAATGAAAACTGTTCAATGCCATACTCGAAAATAATCCACTCGCCTGCTCGGCTAAAGAAGGGTAGGGCTCATATACTACACGCTTTAGAAAAACTTCAGACCAAAATCCGGCGTACTAACCTAATTTTACCAAAATATAAAGCAATTCAATAGGCTTTGTGTCAGTCCTGGATGGTTGAACCTTATTTACAAAAAACCGTGCATTCACAGCATGAAAGACGTTTTTCTATTTAAAAACACAATCTATTATGGTAAGAGGCCAGTTTGCCCCCTCGCGGTAATAACCCCAAGTTTGTGTTTCCCATAACAATGACAGAGGGCTGAAATGAAAAAGCAATATTTCTTTGACTGATGAAAGCGAGGGAAAGCGATCAACAACGTGATATGAAATCTGATAACCCTAATTTACACGTTTAATGTGATGACGGAAATAAGAGACACAGATTTGTCATTTACCGAAGTGATTACAGCAAAATGAAAACAATTTATATACTGATAATTCCATGATCTTTCAATATATTTATGATGATACGTAACTTTTCATTTATGTTTCATTTATGACCGTAGCCTTTGATTATTCCTGGAGAAGTACGAGTAATCGTTGAGAGGGGGGCTACACTGCATCCTCCCCTCCCCCTCAAATAAAATTGTTTTTCATGAGGGAAAGGCTACACTGCACCCCCCCCCCCCCCACCCTTCAAAGAGCGGTGCTGTCATTCAGGCCTTACAACCTGTGAATATTTAATTTGCATAATGAGGACATTTTGAGATCTATCCTTTCTATGTTGACACTTCCCGTGAAAAAGTGATAGAGTTCTCAGTATTTCACCTTTACAAGAATTCGTCCTCCTCAGTCTATAAATAAACAGTTAGTAAAACGATATTACATGCTATCTGTGACTTTCATTAAAATCCATTTCATCTAACCTAATGATAACTTCCATAACAATTATGACACAAATAAAAGAAATAATATTGCTCTCATTCATTACTTAAAAATGGCCTTAATAAAGTACTTTATTGTGTACAACTGTTGTCAATTCAAGTATGGAAATGATTGCACTTTTAATGGGCAAACCCTGTAAAGCAGTCAGTTGCTGCTTAAGAATGGCAAGCATCGTCACCGTGCCCGAAAGTAGTATTCGTTCAATGTATAATTTCACTCTTGTTATACATTATGTACCTAACGGCTGTACTTGTTAAAGGACCTAAACACTCATAAAAGACAACCAGTCCACTCTACTAAATTTTAAACCGGGTTGAAATTGTTCCTTTTTACATAAACTTAATGAAGGAAAAATAAATTGATAGCCTCTGTATATAGGATATTGCATGATATTTCTTTTAACATCAAAGTACTTCAAGAAAAAGCCTTTTATATTTAATTGTTGCTTCAACTATACATAACAAATCTGGTTGTGCGTGTGTGGGTGGGCGTAAAATGGTGGTGATATGTCTATGTATTGTGTGTGTACTTTGATTTTTCAGGAGAAGATAAATGAGTAGGGGTGTTAATGTGGTGTGGGTGTGGGTGTGTATTTTTAAACTGATAATAATATATTATATTAATATAACTAGGCTCTCACAGAAACTTGTTTTAATCCATAAGATATCATTTTAGTCTACAAGATAACCTTAAATTATGTTGAACAGACTACTAACTCCTTGTCTAATGATATTCAAGTTCTCTCTGCTCGCCTGTCCATTGTGCCATTTCACACGAACAGCATAAGGTGTTTATCTCGATTAGTGAATGAAAACACAAATGTTACTAAATAATAGTAATAATATTAAATTTGTATATAGCGCTTAACACAAATGTCACTAAGCGCTTTACAAATATACTAAACCCAAATGCAAGAAGAAAAGAACATGTGATGGTATCAAAGAAATTGACAGTAGACTTTCAAAAATAAAAGATAAAGCTTAGATTTAAGCTATTAATACCGGAATCTACATGACCAAATATGTAAAATTTGACTCAATTAACTCCAGGTTCCGTAAAGATTGGTGGATGTGCGTGAAACGGACTACCCCCGCCCCACCCACATTAATGTGGAAAAAGAACCAAACATGAAGAGAAAAAGACAGAGGGGCAGCAAAAAGTTGGGAAAGTAGTTTAAAGGCAGAATTTTGCTACATTTAGACAAATTAATATATAATTGAAAAACGTCTGTATCAATATTAAATATTAGCTAGGATCTATTTTGCAGCATGATGACAGCTGTTCAATGCCATAGTTGAAAATAGTCCCCATGTCTGCTATGGTATAGAACGGTACGGCTCATGTACTACACGCTTTGTCAAAAATTCAGTCCAAAATCCGACGTACTAACCTAATTTTACCAAAATGAAAAAGTAATTCAATAGGCTTTGTGTCAGTCCTGGATGGATGAACCTTATTTACAAGGTCATGCATTCACAGCATAAAAGACGATTTTTTTTTATTTTTTTTTTTAAATCTATTATAATAAGAGGCCAGTTGCCCCCTCGTAATAATAACCCCAGGTTTGTGTTTCCCATAACAATGACAGAGTGCTGAAATGAAAAGGCAATATTTCTTTGACTGATGAAAGAGAGGGAAAGAGATCAACAACATGATATGAAATCTGTTAACCCTAATCTGATAACCCTAATCTGATAACCCTAATTTACTTGTTTGGTGTAATGACAGGACTCAGAATTTTAAAAACATATAATTTCCAACTCATTTTCATTAGACTTTGAAATGACTACAGCAACCTAAATCAAATTTAATACAGATAATTCTTTAAGCTTTTAATATGTTTACATGAATACGTAACTTTGCTTTTATGTTTTATTTGTTACCACGACCTGTAAAACATTCCCGGAGGAGTACGAGTACTCATTGAGAGGGGACTACACTGCAGCCCCCCCCCCCCTCATAAAATAGCATTGTTGCCCATAAGGGAAGGGCTACACTGCACTTCTGTAATGGGTAGAGATGTCATCCAAGGCCTTAGTTTCAACCTGTGAATAATTGTTAATAATTTTATACCCAAGTCGACTTTATCATTAATCCTTTTCGTTTCTGAAAGTTTGAAGCCACCTTGTCACACTCGATTAAGTGACAAAAGCGGGAATAGATTATAGTCCACGCATCTGTATCTATATTCAATATATCATATGGTATCACTTTATTAATATCTCCTGCACTACATTACATGCAAGAATTTCGCCTTTTTTCCTGCTAGAGGTTCTCTTTATTTTACAGAGCTGTTTGACCTCGCGAAGGTGAACAAGTGAGAGCAAATTTGTCATAACAATTGTTACATGGAGATAAAGTTAAGATCAATCGACAAAGAATAGAGCACAGTAGAAGGTGGGCCATAGTTAGCATGCGAGTGAAAAGTTGAAAAGAGGATCTGTTTACCCTTGCTGATAATTTTGCCATCACTACGTAAATTATAATAATAATCAAAATTTCATTAAAACGTTTACTTGTTAAACTCATCTATCTGGATAATGTCAAAACACTTTTAACTTAGAGAGGATTTATTTTCTGCCCTTTTTTATGTATGCTGCTCAATAATTTTTATATCAAAACTGAGATATGTTTGAGTTTGATAGGCAAAGTGTAAATAATAATACTAACAGTAATAATAGGCATTTCTATAGCGCCGTCATACCAAAAGACGTTAAAAGACGGGAGTTTCTGCTACCTTGTTTGGCGTTCAACAATAAGGGATAGAGCAACGTCGATCTGGCGCTGCTCAGTGGCTACCGGGCTCACGATCAATTGCGCAAAAAGAATTTCGATTTCCGGTTTAACTTAATAAATTACCATTTACCTCACCACAAATCCAAGAGTTGATTAATCTTCATTTGCTACTCTCAACCCAGGTATAAATGTGTACCTGAAAGTTGATGGGATAAAGATAACAGCGGGGTCACAAAGAGAAGCAGTGATAATACTGATGCGGCTACTGAGGATAAATATCGCGGAGTGAAATTTAATTTTACACTTAAATCAGACTCGTTCGGGGTTTTTCTCGATCTTATTCATAAAAATGATGTCGAATTAATAGAAATAAGAAAAGGAAGTGGTGATCGAGATTCAGCAAGTCGCAGTTTTTTTGAGAGTCTAAAAAGAACTGTTGGTCTTCGCCTATAGAAAAGCCCTGAAAAAAAACTTTCCAAGTTTACGGTATTGATCCAATAAATGTGTTAATCTGTCTCAACCCATATTAAATAATATGCTTTGGTCATCGTTAGGAGATGAAAGAAAACAAGTTACATGTACCTAACTTTCTTATATCAAATTTCAAATTTCGAATACTTCCTGATAACATGTTCTTCAGCATCCAATATTGTAAAGGTATAGAGTATTTTACCAAAACACAGTGCTTTTATATAACCTGAACATGGTTCATAAATCTCAAAGCTAAAATAATGGCAGCTTGTTGATGTAGTTCCTGAATAAGTTAGTAAGATTGTCTGTACGTACTTCTTATTCATCTAGCATGTCCCCGAGGAGTGAACAAGATTTCTGGCGTGTTTTGACACACATTGCTGAAAATATGAAGACAGATGAGGAAACTGAAAAACTAGGATTGGAACTGGGAATCCCACAATACGATATCGATGGCTCCAGGGTCGCAAACCGACACGGTATAGTTTACGAAGGGACCTTTAATATGCTCAAAAAATGGTCGAGGCTACAACATCAGGAAACGAGCTTAAGGATCTTAAGACAAGCCTTGGAGAGGGTCGGCAGGATAGACCTATGTGAAAGCATGGACCGTGGTGAGAGTACTTCTTCAATACCTGACGTTGCTGGTAAGTATCGTGTAGAGGTGTCGTGCTACAGTGGTTTGTTCACTTGACTATAAATCCAACGATTGGGGGTTCGAATTCCTAACCGGCAATAACGTGTAATGTGGTAAGGCATTGATCCACATTTGCCACTCTCCACCCAGGTGTAAATGGGTATCCGACATGCCCCAGCGTTACATATATCGCAGCACGGCGTGATGGACATGTGCGTGTTATAGAAATGTACCATTATTTATCATTATTATTACAAGCCATGTACTTCTCTAGGGCAAGATAGTGGTTGATCTATTTACAGTGCACATGTATGCAATAGCGAACCTAATAATAACAAGTGTTCTTTCCGTTGAAGTAGTTTGTCGATATATGATTTTACGTGGTCCTTGAACAATTTCAGTTCTGATGGCCGAGGGGCAATTTGTTGGCAATACATTTGTCTATTAAACGCCCAAATGACGCCTGGTAGGCATATGAAAACAAATGTTGAACTAACTGTCCAAACCTCTTATGTGATACCTGTGTTTAGGAGTTCCGAGGGGCATAGAATCCTTTTTTTAAATGTGACCTTTGCAATTTAAATATATGTTACATTAAAGTGACTCGGTAACATCGTTGAAGGTTGATGAAAAAACTGCGTAATTTGTGTATGAAATGTTACTTATCATATTCCTCTTACATGCAAACAATCCTGAAAACATTCTCAAACCACAAACATATTTATGATTTTTATTTTCTAAGGCGCCACTGTGTGACACCCTCTAACAGTAAATTCTACCAACCATTTATGAATTTTCCCAACCGTTTTTCCATGAAAATAAGACATATGACAAGCTTTGTAAACAAAAATTACATCTAGCATTGAAGTCATTACCATCTTATCTCATCTGAACAATGTTACCAAGTCCTTACATTATTGTTTTGATGTGAATGAAGGAGTTTGGAGAGTGTCGAACAGACTTTCATAAATGATCGGTGCTTTATATTGCTCACCCACAAAGATGTCATTCTAAAATTATTATTCTTTCGAGTCCCAGTAATTTTGCGTGCAGTGGATCTGCCGCTGGCGCAGTAGCGGCTCGCTGGCAAACTTCCATCCCGCCAGCTCCCTTACACAGAAGGTGCGTGTTCCGCGGAAAGTGTGGTGGAAGGTTTGTGTGCGAGATGCGATTTCGGTTTGGGATTTCCGATTTTCGTGAAATTTACGATTTATTTATTTATTTTCTCATCAGTATTTTTATTTACATTGAGTTTGAGTTTGAGTTTAGTTTCTTTATTTCACATAAAAAACAATACATTAACAAAACATAGCATATTTACAAAATTTTGTTTGTTTTGCATTTACACTAAATAATTTCGAAATTACATGTGAAAAAAGGAACTTACATGTAAAAAAGAGCAGGCACGTACGCAAGGGGGATTTCGGTTTAAACCCCCCCCCCCCCCCTTTGATATTTTTTTTATTTTTTTTTTAATCCTAATGGATGACCTAAAAAAGGTGACCTTACCCTCCCCCCTCCTCAACGAACGTAATGCCTATCAGTCAAATGTTAAAATTTCGGGACCCCCGAAAAAAATCTTCCCCCCCCCCCCCGCTTATTCAGCGGCTGGCTGAGTCGTTGCGAAATTTTTGTGACCCAAAAAAAAAAAAATATGTCCTCTTACCACCCCCCCCCCCCCACTTATTCAGCGGCTGGCTGAGTCGTTGCGAAATTTTTGGCCCGATTCCAAAATGTTAAACCCCCCCCCCCCCTTTAAAAAAATTATGCGTACGCCACTGATAAAGAGAATATACACTGTAAAAAGAAAAATGGGCAGATGCTACTGGGTAATATCGATTTTGGAAAAATCTTGTCCGAAAATTGGCTCATTTTTCCCCAACCATTCGCTATAAGAAGTTACCTATTAAAAGGTTAAAAAATCGGTTGGGTCGGTGTTACTTGGCAAATCGATGTTGGGCAAATGTTGTCCAATAATTGGGTTTTTTTCTACCAACCATGTATTTACCGATGAAATAATTGTTATTGGGAAAATTAAAGTTGGGCCATTTTTGTCCAACAATTGAGTTATCTTTTCTACATGTCAAGTTAGCCAATTAAATGTTCCAAACTAAATGGGCACTATTGTCCTTCGATATATATCATGTATGATATTTTATCAAACGTATTTGCCCAACTAGTGTCTAATATGCTACACATTATGGTGAGAATCGGGTGAATTTCTGATTCGGTATATTTTTGTTGGTTCAAAGTTGGGTATTTTCTTTTTATCCAACAGTGGGTAAATCATGCAAAATCTTTAATTTACCCAACAGTTGGTTGGACACATAATCGCCTTCATGTTGGGTAAAAATTGGGCAATTTTTTGCCCAACATTTTTCTAGAGTGTAGCTTGTAAAATTTAAGTTCCTCGAAATAATTTTGACACAGTGTCATTTATAATGAGGTAGAAGTATAATAATTAAAAGCAAAGTATACAGACAAAAACAATGAAATGATTTGGATGATGGATGCAAGAAAAAAAGAAAAATAGGAAGAGAAAGTAAAGAATGGGAGTCAGAAGAAGAATGAGAAGAGAGAAAAAGAAGTATAGTTGTGCATTACACGTACGAATTCAATAATAACAATTTAAAATGTTTTTTGAAGCTGCCGTAGATTTTTAAGCTGTTTGAGATTAAGATCAATGTTTAAGATCAATGTATTTTGGTTCTGTGTATAAAATTTTGGGGGGGGCAAAAACTGTCCTGGTTAGAGGAAGATGGTAGTTTGCACGTGTAGCATGTCGTGTTTGGTATGTGTGGACAGTGTAATTTGTTGTAAGGACTTCAATCGTGGCTGATGGAAGTTCTTGGCGAGACAACTGAAATTTGATTTTTATTAAACTTTAACATGTCACAGTTTGCCTTCCGAAAAAAAAAAAGGTTCAGTGTATGCGCAATAGTAGGCATTATTTATCACGTTTATGTAAAAGAAGGATTCTATTAATATATGTGATGTCTGGATTACCCAAAGGAAGATTTCGATAATGTAAATACGACAGTATTAGCGTTGAGTAAAGAGTAAGGGAATTGAAGGGAAATTTTGTAGATTTAACAGTCAAGGGCTGCTTCACTAATAAATACTTCACCCGGAAGTGAGTCAATAATATTGCTAAACAACATGTAATTGGTTCTGTTAATATTCAAGGAGAGTTTGTTTGTCTGGATCCATTCATAAATTAAAGTGAGTTCATAGTTAACATATTTAGTAATAGTTGTGGGTCAAGATGAGATAAAAATATGTCAGTGTCATCTGCAAATAAGATTAATGATAAAGTGGTAGATGCGCTTTTAATATCATTTATATATAAAATAAAGAGCAGCGGGCCGATTAACGAAGTTTGTGGTACACCACATGTAATAGGTCTGACAGTTAATTCGCAATTATTGACCGAGACAAATTGGGGCCTGTCTTGTAAGTAGTTCCTGAACCACCCCAAGGCCTTTCCTCTCACACCATAGTGCGAGAGTTTATATAATAACATTTCGTGATCTATAGTGTCGAAGGCCTTGATAATTCCATGAATATTCCAATGGTGTGTGAATAATCATCAATTGCTTGAGCGACTTTACTTATAAATATTAGCATTGCGTGAGCTGTATGGTTTTTGCGAAAACCGAATTGAGAATCAAAAAGTAAGCCACATTCTGTTAAGAATTTAATGGTGCGCGTATAAATATTCGTTTCTAAGATTTTGTAAAATGTTGTTAAAAGGGATATTGGTCTATAGTTTCCGCAGTAACGTGTATCTCCTTTTTTTTGTATATGGGTATAACCTATGCGTTCTTCATATGTGAGGGAACGAACTCATTTATATGCGATAAGATAAAAATGTGAGTTAATGGGATTACAATTTCTGAGATTACATGTTTTAAAATACTGTTCGTGATTCCATCATAGCCAGGACTCTGTGGTAGATTGTTTACTATGTCAATTATCTCTGTTTCTTGCACTGGGATTTAAAAAAATATGGATTTTGGATTTGGATTTTGAAGAAAAAATCGTGGGTGGAATAGCTCTAGCATTAAAATACTGTTTCATGTGCAAGTTGATGTTCTTAATCGTAATGACAATCTTTCTCGTTGATCTTGTCAAGATTAGAAAGTTATTAAGTTGATCGCATTCGCATTATGAAATTAACATTGTAGGTTCTAGCCTATTTAACTTGTTTAATTGGTTGTAATTATCTGTTTTTGGAAACTTCCCCATGGTTCTGGATTAATCCACGTGAACCAGGGTCAACTTTTAAAAATAAATTTCCCCTGGTTCGTAGCCGTCTTTTTTAAGGCTTAATCAACACTTATATTTTTGGTATGGAATAGTACTTTTAGGTCTAAGTATGAAGATAAAAGAACTATATCATTTATTTATGAACAAAACGAAAATCGATAATCTCCCCAAATAAATATACAAATGTTTTCAGGATATTTTCACACCTGCTTGGTAAGGTAATAGGTAAGGGTTTCTTCCATCGAATGACACCAACATTTTTGACGACGTGTTATGTTTGAGTGAAGAAAAAGATGCCAAATTCAGATAAGACAGGAATATTTGTTCTGGCTCGTATCAGCAAATGTGAGAGTTTTGTAGGTGGAAAAGAAATGACAAGAAACTGTATAATTCTTTTATTATCGAAGTATGTGTTGACATGTCAATATTATTATTCTATGGCTTTACAGGTGAGGCTATAAAGATCAACAACAGATCGTATATTACTGGTTTAATCTATGTTGTCCTGAATACAACATAACATGGTGCTACATATCTTAATAGTAAAGAGATGGTGACGACGTTTACAAGCTTGCCGTTATTTTCAAGTTTAAACTCAGTGGTGCCTTTAATTGATATTGATTGATCGGTTAACTGTTTGCTTAGTTGATTTTAATAATATATTGATTGATTTTTATTTCTTCATCAACTATTCCTTGTGATATTCTATTTCCATCATAAAGTTATACTTCACTACACACAAGAAATCAGTTATTTGCTCACTCCAGCATAACATTTTCATAGGACATGTCCAGACATCAAGCGAAAAATGTTTTTTTGTTTCATAACTTGTCTTTTAATGATCATGATGGTTACGACAGTTCCTAAGCAATTTCAAGATACACGATTTCAAATTTATCAGCCAGACTAATTATAAATTCTGGTCAAGTCAGGATTTTTCATCCTTTCTTAAAAGAAACTTTTATTTTACCAACCGATTTCTTTGATTATTCTGCTTTCAAACGATTCAAATTGTAGCATTGCCCGCTAAAATTAAATCTTTTTTTTTTAAAGAATTAAACAATAAATAGAATGCATGTTTTAATGATTTTATATTTTTCGAAAACGTTCTACCCACTATCTTTTCTTTTCCTGTTGGCTTATACTTTTGCAGAAACAGAGTCAAGTGCGCTGAAAAACCACAGAGAGGAGCTGGATAAACTCAAAGATTATCTGCAAAATTATAGACAGATAGAATGCATAAACAACGATAAGGCGAGGCCAGAAGTAGTTCATATTGGACTGTATGGCGAAAAAGGTTCTGGAAAATCGGCTTTAGCTAATTCTCTAAGTTTGCTTTCACTGGTAGGTAAAGCAGCTTAATACCATTTTACAAGCACAACTGTTGTTTTTTAATATGGCATTTAATCATGATAAAATAGTAATAATAAAAATAACATCAATAATAACGATAATAATGTTGACAATGATCATTATAATTATAATAAATGGAGGGAGGACAGCGAATTAAATCAATTAACGATTTAGAAAATGACTTGCTGTAATCAGTACAAAAACTGACGACCATAGATATCTGCATGAAGTTCGGCTCCTGTTTTATCTACCAACTGAATATTAGGTTTTGAAAATAATTGATAATAATAGATAACAATACCAAAACAATAAAAACAATATGTCTTTATACTGTTGTCCCTAAGGGTCTTGTAATAATACTATCGCTACAGCTCCAGGATGTCGTATTTCTATACTACTCATCATTAAATTCGTACTCTAGATCAGAATCTCACTTGTTAAGCGTATGAATCCAAATGTCTCACTAAAAAGTGATATTTTGATCACGATCAGAATCTCATTGGTGTTGTGACTTTTTATCCAAATCTTACCAATCCTAACTATAATGGCCGTGTTATTTAAACATCGATATTTTCTACCCAACAATTTATGCACAACGTTTGAATGTTAGAGAGAGATAGTCACGTCACCCGAATATGCTTCTGAATGGTCAAGCATTTCACCAAGTTGTAAAATACATGTAGTCGTACCATACGAAATGCACTTGATTTGTCCTTACCTAAAAATGAGAACTTTGAGGTACCAAAATTGTCCAATCCCATCTTTCACTCGCTCCTTCAATAATAAATAGAGGCTTATGTAATATCAGTACGTTATATGTACATGTATTTCAGCAATATAATTAATATGTGCAATATTAATTGTCATGGTGCTTGGCACAGCAGGTTCTTCCATTCATTCTTCTTTTGATATTGCATGTACTTTTATCCTTCCTCTCACTTTCTCATCCCTTTTCTCTATTTGAACTTTCTACTTTTCAAATTTCCTTTTCTCTTCTCAATCTCTATTAATCTCTATTTATATACTTCACTCCCATCTCCTCTCTCGTTATTCTCTCTCTCTCTCTCTGTCTCTTTATATATATCTCTCTCCCTCTCTGTCTGTCTCCCGCTCTTTCTCTCTCTCTCTCTCTCTCTCTCAGCTCTCTCTGACTCTCTCTCTCTTCTCTTTCTTCCTTCGTCCCTCCCTCCTCTCTGTTTCTCTCTCTCTCTATATATATATATATATATATATATATATAGATATATTTTATATATCTCCCTCCTCCTCTCCACCTCTTTCTTTTCATGGTATTCACACCGTTTCCTTAAACTATTATTTACAAAATACTTTTTTTTTTCATGGTTGAATGCCCGTGAGAATGCTCCTAATGTATTGAAATTAGCTTCTTCGATTCTTTGAAATTTTTCCCTACGCAGGTACATACGATGATTGCGCCAACGAGATGCCAATGCACCTCGAGGCAACAAGGTATAACAGCGCATCCGCATTACAGAGCATATACACATCATTGACAGTAGAGAAATGAGAGACGTTGACGTGAGGCAAATAAGTGACGATATAATACCCCAGATTTGTAAGTGTTCTTTACATCAAACTAATATTCTTATATTAAATAAGGACAGGAAATTGTGTTCGAATACAGGAACCTAGCCATGGGTTAGCAGTAAAATTCATCAGTTAAAGCGCAACCTCACAAAAATAAGATAATATTAAGTTACCTAAAATGTCATGAAAATGCGAAAAAATGCACGAAAAATGATGCTTCTCTCTCCCCCTACCCTCCCTCCCCCTCCCCCCCCCCCCCCCTCCCAGTCCCCAACTGAAAGGCAATAACCAACAACGTCGATTTACTAGTCATTTGTGTATTTTAGACTTTATTCATATGTTATGGTTTTTATAACAATATCTACCAAGGTCAGGTTGCAGTGGAGTAGTATAGTGTGCAGTGGGCTTTAAAAACAATTCGAATTGAATCGTAATTGTCATCGTGCAAATGTGGGGCGTAGCTTAGGATTCAACATACCTGTTGGCAAATTGGGGTGTCACTCCTCGAAATCTGTCGGCAAATCTAGGTGTTAGCCCTTCACCCTTTCTACATGTTCTAGCGACGCCCCTGAACATATCAACCATAATTACCTACCGTTCATGAAATAATCCAGTTCATTTTTTAACTTGTAAGTGGAAAAATAAGAACATGGAGTCACAATTTGTGCAATTGTTGCTAAAAAGAAAAAAAAAATATTTTGCTTTGCAGGTGGCAAGCGTGGAGTCGATGATCACAACAGGGTTACAGGAGGAATAGTGATACACTGCCCTGTTTTTGTTTGGAACTTTGCAAAGCCAAGGTAAGATATATAGAACCGGAGTTCTAGCGTCATATTCGCTCTTCATCCATGCTACTGTTTCTAAACAACGAGCATGATTATGAGGTTCACCGCGAAATTATTCAAGCAACGGCCTGGAGCAGGGCAAATTCAGTGTTTGGGGCTGGGTGACCCTCCCACCCCTGTTAAGCAAACTTAAAAATTGTCCAGTATGAAGTCAAACTTCGTTTAGTAAAAGGGATATTTTACCATTTGTGTTTACTATACGATTCGCTGTAATCAGATATTTAACAACCATGTCATGGCGAGCGTTTTGGTGTCAACATTACTCTAAAATCCAATGTCAATCCAACAGTCGAAGGAAAAACAAGTAACAACATTATCGAAATGGTTAATATACACTTTTAAGACGCTGGATCCAATACTTTAAAGGTTTAATCTAGCTTGTTAAAAGTGTTAAAAGAACATTTTGGTTAATGGAAGAAAAACCCATTGTGAAATTTGTTAAAGGGCACAGAGAAGTGTTACTCTCAAGTAAGGGTAAGGGTTTGAGAGCCCGCAAAGGTATCCAATGCTCAATAGAGTCAAGATGACTGCTCGCATCACTTAGTGCTTCTCTGAAGGCAGACTTAACGTCATATTTCAGAGGTTGCCATTCATGTGGATCTATCATCTATCAATGAATTAATCATCAATCAGGCGGAAAATATGATTTTTTTTTTTTTTTTTAATTCAAGTCTTAGAAATTTTGGGACGTACATTTCCATAGAATAGCCTAATAAGTGTATTCTGCATTCTCGGGGTATGACGTGCACGATTTTGTTTCAAGTCATTGGCATTATTATTTTTTCTTCGATTCGTTTATGTGATTGCAGCTTTTGTCCCCAAGAAGCAATGACGGAGTTTATTATAAATCTTGACAGTGCCGTACTTGATCACTACGGTAAGTTTTTTTTTTTGTAAAATAACCATTTGGTCTTCTTTATTTTTTTCTTCATAATAATATAAACATATTCACATTTTAGCATTTGCCTCCATTTTCTGGAGGGATATACATGGTTTTCTAATATTTTCTTCTATTTGTAAACGATAAATTAATAGGTAAATAAAAATATGAAGAAGTCTCTTTTTAGTTGTTTTCTTTTTAGATTCTTTCCAACAAAACTTTTGTAAATAGTAAAAAGTGCATAATTCAAAATAATTCAACATCTTTTTCCTTCTTTGAATTAAAATCAATACCAAACAATACATGACTGGTTTGAAATTAAAATCAGACATGAAATATTTCTTTATAGTCCTTTCAACTTCATTCCAAAACATACTGACTTCGTTACAAAAAAAGAACATGTGCATACAATCACCTGTCTGATTACAATAATAACATTTATCATTGGCATTAACTTTCCATTTAAAAAATATGGTATTGCTAAAATATTATACATGAATTTGAAATTGAAATTAATTAGTAAGCTGTCTTTTATACTTTTTAACTTAAATAACCAAACATCCGACCATACAGGTATGTATTCAACTTCCAAAGTATTACGCCAAAATTCTTCTGCTCTAGATTACGGTAAGTTGATAACTTATTAAACCGGTTTTTCGTAGGAGATAGATATCGATACTCCCCAATACTAGTTTTATTTCATGGATAAAATATGACATGCTATAAAACAATATGACCATTTTGGGGCTTGTCATTTTCCAAATTTGTTACGATCAACACTAAACAAAAATTATCATGTCCATCATAGACATAAAATGAGCTGTTGAAGTTGACATAAACCACAATTGTTGATAACTGTGAACATAAATTCGAATCAGAGCATTTATCTTTATCTTGTCCAGGTCGACATTTGATGGTAGCGATTATTCATGAGAAGGAACTGCAACCGCGTGAAGACTTCCCAGCTGTAAGCGCGCTTCT